TATTTTAGATTTTTTATATTTAAAATGAGATATTTATTCTGTATTTGATTGTGTTTATCTGCAGTTAGTTACACGAATTCAATTATGGGATGAAATCGGATAKGAATGAAATTGTTTAGGGATGAACGGGTTTAAGAGTTTAAGAGTTTTTAAGAGTTTAAGAGTTTTTAAAAGTTTTAGCCAAATGCTTTATAATATAGTATAGATATATATATATCAACTCAGTCAATATAATTTTTATCATACTAGATCAATAATTTGAAGAAAATAATTGACTAGATAGATCATGGATGGATATTCGTCATCACATGGCATCCTCAATTATCCAAACAGGCTTAGATCTGCATGCATGGTACCTTAATATTGATTGCAAAATGCCATAGTCTCACCAACTTGAGCAGGTCCCACAAATTTGGTCCCTTGTGGGTCCAGTCTGGCGATAATGGCCAGGAAGAAGTCCGATCCAAAAAATACTAGATCTAGTTTTCACATCCCTTGGAAAACAATAATTGAACGAGAGAATATTAGAATGATCGAATTGATTTTAAACTAAAATTACGTGTAAAATCACATCTGATTCATCCAACCTGAAATCGGTGGTCACATTGTTTAATCACCCTTATTTTGACCATGTTACATAATTCTTATTCTCTTATTTGATTTTCCATATATATATATATATATATATATATATATATATGTATTATTAGTTAATCCCACTAGCTTCGTAACCGACACAACCATGTCCTTATTTAATGCTACAATTTCCCCCACCGACGATACATTGCTCAATTATTTTATTCCCATCCCTACTCATTTATTGGCACCTACAAAATCATGTTGGTTCACTTTCCGTATAATCCGTATTCATCTTTCCGTATGCGTTATAACATTGCCTTTATTTCATTTGGCCCACTATTTATATTCATGTTTATTAAACGATCCCTAAGTAATTTTCATCGCTTAAGGTTTCTCCTTTTTTTTAACTGAAATTAGAACAATTAGACTTAAAAGGTTTTGAAAAAATGCAGGAACATTCGCAATAGCACAGAAAGAAGGAAATTAGGATTTTTGTCATGTGGCACGGGGAACCCAATCGACGATTGCTGGCGTTGCGATAGGAACTGGCAGCGCCACCGCAAGCGCCTTGCAGATTGCGCGATCGGGTTCGGTCGCAATGCTATTGGTGGCCGGGATGGACGGTACTATGTTGTTACTGACCCCAACGACGACAACCCTGTACACCCACGACCAGGAACTCTACGACATGCCGTCATCCAAGATCAACCTCTATGGATCATCTTCAAAAGAGACATGGTTATCACCCTAAAACAAGAACTAATCATGAACAGTTTCAAAACAATCGATGCTCGTGGAGTCAACGTTCATATCGCAAACGGCGGTTGCATCACGATCCAATACATAACCAATGTTATCATCCATGGTCTGCATATTCATGACTGCAAACCAACCGGAAATGCCATGGTTCGGAGCTCACCATCGCACTACGGTTGGAGAACAATGGCGGATGGTGATGGGATTTCAATCTTTGGGTCAAGCCATATCTGGGTCGACCATAATTCACTTTCAAACTGTGCTGATGGCTTGGTTGATGCGATCATGGGATCAACCGCTATCACCATCTCCAACAATTATTTCACCCACCATAATGAGGTACTCATCTAACCTCCAACTCCATTATCCTGAGTCCCACGTAATCTACACTTATCATGTCTGGACAATATACCCTACCATAATATTGATTTTATTAAAATGTAAAAGCGTTATAAAAAAAACTTTATAACACTTTTTAGGATCAACCCAAAAAACATTCTATATAAAAGTGTTACAACAGGTTTAGAACGTTTTTAGGCGTTTTAACAAGTTTTTTAAGACGTTTTTGAAATAAAGTGTCTTATTAACTATTTTATACGATACTATTTTAAAAAGTAACCTATAAAAAGATAGATTTATAGGACACTTCTAAAAAATATTCTATAAAGTAGTTAATGAGACACTTTATTTTAAAAATGTCATAAAAAACTTGTTACATCGTCTAAAAGCGTTCTATAAACCTATTGCAACGCTTATAGATAAAACGCTTTATAGATTGGTCTTATAAACCCAAGTTCTATAAAGTATTATATTAAGACACTTAGACTATCTATGCGTCCTATAAAGCCAATTTTGTTGTATTCTCACATGACATTAGGACCTGAGTCTATCATTCTAGGGCTAACACTTTGGGACAACTCGTATATGTTTTCTTAAGGGCCTTTTTGAAAAGTAATCTAATAGGGTTTCAAATATTCTCATATGCTTAATTTATTTGTGATGGATGAACAGGTTATGTTACTTGGTCACAGCGACACGTACGATAGGGACAAGATTATGCAAGTGACTATAGCATACAACCATTTCGGGGAAGGTCTTGTTCAAAGAATGCCAAGGTGCGTATCACCTCGACTTTAAAACCTTCTTTTTTCTTGAAGGACTCTTTTAAAAAATAATTTAATGAGGTTCTATATATTCTGATTCAGATATAATTACCAATTTTTGCAGGTGTAGGCATGGATATTTCCATGTTGTAAATAATGACTACACACACTGGGAAATGTATGCTATTGGTGGGAGTGCAGATCCTACAATTAATAGCCAAGGCAACAGATACCTTGCCCCTGTTAATCCTAATGCTAAAGAGGTAAGAGATGTTTGGTAAAAATTAGTTGATAAGTTAGATAACAATGTAAAATGACCTAAAATGACAAGAAAAATTAATTGGAAAAAGTACTCCCTACGTCCCAAAATAAATGTCTACAATAGAAAAGACACGTAGTTTTAGAAAAATAAATTAGCTTATGGTTACCAAATATAGCCAGAAACTTAACGAACCGATATCGGAAAACATGCAGGTGACTCATAGAGTGCAGACAACAGGAAGATGGAGACATTGGAATTGGAGGTCAGAAGGAGACCTAATGTTAAACGGAGCCTTCTTCGTACCATCTGGAACGGGTGCCGGAGCCAGTTACGCAAGAGCATCGAGCCTAAGTGCCAAACCGTCGTCCGTCGTCGCCTCTCTTACTTCCGGATCCGGTGCACTCGTTTGCCGACGAGGCCGCCAGTGTTAAATAAATAAATAAATAAAAATCATCATCATCATCATTCTCCTCATTAATTTTTGAGAAATCTCAGTTTTCCTTCTCTTTTTTCAAACATTAATTTTCACTTTGGTTGGTTTAATGAACGAAATACTCGAGAAAGTGTACATTTTTCTCTATTTCGTTCACGCGTTATTCCATACATGGTTCCGATATTTCAAATATCTGAACCCCGAAAAAGGTCGGGTATGGATCGGATCGGATCGAACCGAGCATTTCTCATGCTATGTAATTACTGTTTTCTTGCAGTTCTGATTGACTTGTAAATTTCGGTAGTTGTTTACAAGAAATTCTCTTAATATATAGAGACCAAGTGAACAGCATTTAAGTGTGTATGTGTGTGTTTTGTAATTTATTGTTACTCAAAACACAAGTATTAATTAATTACCGGGACTTAATTATTTGTCATGGCTTTTAAGTTGTTGGTTTTAAGGGGTTGTTTGTTTACTTCTTAATAGTTCTATTAAGAAGTAGCCTCTGAATCATTAATAGCTGAATCTTGTTTGGCCAAAAAAAATGTCTTTTAGTGGTTTTAAAATCCTTTAAATGATTTTGCATTCTAGGTCTTCCTTAAACATTCAGCATCCTAATTTCATTATAAACAATTATCAAACAATATATCATGAGAGCATCTTAATCATTCTACACCAAACCATTCAGCAACTACCAAACAGTCCCTAATACGCAATTAAATATAATCCGGCATCAATTTTTTGCTCAAGTATAATCCCGGCGTCAATTTTGGAACCGAAACAAGTCGATTAAGTCGATTGTTTTCTTGTTTCATCTCCTTCTATTGTCGAATCGTCATGTTTTGTGCGGTATGATTATTAATCCTAACAAACATCATCTGATATAATACCGTCTCCAATCCTATCAACAAAAAGAAACCAAATTGGTGGGGTCCTTAATACAAAAAGTTGCTCCAATTCCAACCACCTGTAATGGTATCGGGGACGGATACATAAATTTTTTCAAGTGGTGACATCATTTGACTATAAGAAAAAGATATTAGAAAAAAATTTCAAATGGTGGTACCGTTTGACTATAAGAAACAAATATAAGAATTTTTTTTCAAATGGTGACACCTTTTGACTAAGAAAATGACACGAACAAGATTCGAATTTGGGTCTAAGATGAAATTAAAAGCCTTACAAACCAACTCCACCAAATAAAACTTGTTCTTATTGTAGTTCTGAAATACATACGGTGACACACAACAAATTAATACAATTGCACCTTTCACGAACCTAAATTTTCTTACCATTCGACGCAGGAATAATACGGTGGCATGTGCCACCATAACCACTATACTAGGTCCGTCCCTAACTCGTATGTATATCGTTTCTCTTCCATGGTTGGCATTTTCCCATTCTTTTTGTAGTACGGTTGAAGCTTCTTCTCCGGCAAAATCTCAAATATATAGTATGCATCGTTGGAGATTCCCTATCGGTAAAACTCAACATTATCACTTACTTACCGGGTATGATTTCAGTCTACCAAAACGATATCATATGCAACAATTTACATGGTAATCGCTAACCATGGTAAGAGTCATTATCCTCACTTACCGGGTAAAACTCTCGGTCCTTACCGAGCAAGATTCTTGGTATTTATCATATTCATCCAGTAAAATAATGTAACTTGGTAAACACTTATTCAGATAAACGTTTGCATATATATATATTTATGATTATAAAAGAAAAAGGATAAGAGAGCATTGGATTTGGAAATTGAAGGTGGGTTCGTCCCACATGGGTGGGGAAGGAGGGGAGAAGGGAGAAAAGGGGGCTATAAAAGGGAAGAGATGGGAATGGGTTAAGACTTACATACCTGGACGGGGTCTGAATGGGTGATCACGAAGGCCCATGGCCTAGGTTGATGACTTCCATTGCACACTTAACGGAAGGACGTCAACCTAAGGTCGACTCATGTTGGTCGATCCTACGTCGTAATTTGTGGTAGCGGGGGCTTGCGTACGCGCGGCCCCTTCCAATTTTATTTAACCCAATATTTGTTGAACATCTAATTTTATATGAAAAAGTAACTTGTTTTAATTTGATTTTTGGTTAACGTATTTTTATAACTTTTATTTTAGTGTATCTGGGTAACGGGTTAAAGACCAAAAATTAATTTTAGATTAAAAAAATTGTATGTCACTAAAGTAAGCAAATAATACTAAGTTAAAAATCATATCACTCGCCACATCAGCATAATAACTTGTTAATGCTTCAACTGGTTACCTGGATACTTAAATGTTTAAAACTTTACATCTTAGATATCAAAATGGAAATTTCGAATATACGTTACCTGAAATAGAATCAAATTAAAGTACGTTACTTTTTCATAAAATTTGTCCTACTTAAAAAAACAAAACTCCTTCGTGTCTTTGATAATTTTGTTACAAAATAAATTTCTATAATAAAAAAGGAATAATTATTACATTTTTTTTAATTAAGAAAAGAACAATTTTACACTTATCACAAATAGAGAAATTTCCTTCATTTCAGAAAACGGGAAAACGGTCATCAGGTAAAAACGGATATTTATAATGGAACAAACTAAAATAGTAATGTAGACATTTATTCTGAAACAAAGAAAGTATATTTTTTGTTAAATAGAGTACTACGTATTAGAATCATTAAAGAAAATTATATCTGATTCCAACTCTATTTTCTTAATTTTAACAATAATTATATTATTAAAATATTTTTATAAATTCAGTATTTTTTCAAAAAAGTTTATTAACACATTTATCCCCCATTGTTGTAAACAATTAAAAAATATTATATATTTTTCTTTAATATATAAAGTTTTAAAATTTCTATATCTATCTCTCTCATTTTCTATATTTTACAATATACTTTAACATAATTGTTTTTTTCTTTTCTTATTAACCTTTGTTATGCGAGCCGATTAATCCCATGACAACCACCTGCTTTGCGGGTAACCCAAAGTCACTACATTTGAACCTCCGTGACCACAAAAAGATTTTTGTTCCTCCTTCGATTTGAACTTGAGACCTCTTAGGCACTTTTGACCTTTGGACCCCAAGGTCAAACCAATCAGACACCACCCTTATGATTAACATAATTGTTAAAGAGCGAACAAAAAAAAAACCTCCAAAATCTCTAATTTGGTATTAGCTGTTGGAGACGTTTTTTACTAATATAATCAACAGGTTCCTGAGAGGATCTCCAACAGATATATTATATTTTCTCTCTCCTATTTTCCTATATTTTAGAGAGGAATTTAGAATATCAGTTGTTTTCCAATCTCTAGAATTTCTAAAATAGCATAGAATGGGTTTTGCTTGCATTAAGCTCCAATTAATATAAGAATGGGTTTTACTTACATTAATTAACAAGCTTTTTTAAATAAAAGCTTGGTTAGCTGTTTTCTATGGTTGTGTTTATTTGTACTTTTCCATAATTCTTCTTGCTTCTTCAAGGCTTTCTTCTGTTGAAGTGGTGGTGGCTCCTTCGCCGCCGCCGCCGCCCCCCGTCGGGCCTTCGTCTTTATTCAACGCGATAAACGCCGAGTAAATTAGCCCCATTGTTGCCTGTTTCACGGAAACCAAAATATCAGCCACAATCGTTGCCAGTATCGAAAAGTTTGCAGAAAAAGCTTCTGGTTTACAGGAAAAACACACGATTCTTGAGAGAAATCTCGGGAATTACCAAAGGGTCGTTGGCTCAGCAGTTACCGGGTATAGGGTTACTGGTAAGAGCCCAACCTTCCATGAGGTCAAGGGTTCAAATCTCAACAAATGTAAGGAATGTGCTTGAGTATTTACTATATATATATATATATATATATATATATAAATTATATACTTCAAAAAGAAGAGAGAGAAAGCTTGGGTGTTTGAGCTATAACTAACAAGAGCATCTCCAACAGATTCTTCAAAATGGAGAAAGTTGAGAGAGAAAAAGTAAAAATCTCTAAATTTGGAGAACACCCCATAAAATTATTACAACGAGAGAGGAATATTTTTTAATATATTTCCACTAATAGGAAACTTCAAAATTAAATATTTAGAGAGAGATATAATATTTTATTAAATAAATTAAATATTTTAATAATATAATCGTTGGTGTAATCTCCAAAATGAAGAATCTGTTGGAGTGAATGTATTTTTGCTTTAAAGATTTTGAAGTTTCATTCTCCATTTTAGAGAAATTTTGGAGGATCTTTTGGAGATGCTCTAAGGTCATTCTCAAGGGTTCGAGCATGGAGGTGTCATTGATTTGGGCCAAGGATACTATCGTCATGGGTTTGAGCCACATAGATGACCACAACTCGATGATTTCACGGTGAATGCATCTTCTTGATCGTTGGAGTCCTACATTGGCTTAGATTTGTACCATTTCTCCTTAATATATGTTGGAACCACCTTTTTGTTCCTCAATGGCTCTCTTGGAGAGTAATATGATGAGGTTCCACATAGGTATTAGATCCAAGGTCTACCACTTTAGGAACTCGACACTATGGGGCAATCTATGTCCGTCTGTCAACTCTTCCCCTCTGGGTGCGTTTATTACGCGGACGAGACTAGACGAGCGAGAGTGAGGCAGCGTGGTGAAACCGTGAAAGCATTGTGTAGTGTTTTAGGATTTTAATTTGACATGGGTAGTTTAGTAAGTTACTAATCTTGTCCCATCTTCCTCATTTTTATTCCACCGCCTATTTTGGTTGAAAAGGAAAATAAGCATTTTTGTCCACTCACCGGATCTTGTCTTGTCCCAATCTAATATCGCACTAAACATAGAACACAAAGTCTTGGGTTGTCCTTACCCGCATATCAAACACACCCTCTGGGACAACTTGTGCCCGTCTAGCCACCGTTGGACGTCAAATAGGAAATGGTATGACTTCGGTGTTTGAGATGTACCATGAAAGTGTTGGGTATTCGTATTTTTGTGAATCTTAAAAGTTACAATAACTTGTTTACCCATTATCATCGTGACAAAAACCAAGTCCATATTGGAAGGTTCTCCTATTTTCTCCTTACTAAAGGGTATTCTACATGTTAGACCACTAGTATAACAGTCTTGCTGGAATTCTTGCAAAATCGGGTGAGTATTTCTAGTTCAAATGGATCAGATGAGATGGGGAGAGGACCCTGGAAAAAGAAAGAACCGAAGAACCCATTGACCCAACAGATATAATTCAAAAAAAAAATACAATATTTCCCCTTAATTTTTAAATCAAAAATCAGCAAAATACAAAGAAATAGGAGCCAAACGAATTACACCAAAAAAACGATCACTTTCTTATCTTTAATTTGATATATTTTTTTCATCCATTCTTTCATGGTTCTTTCTTTTTTCAAGGTTCTCTCTGGATCTTTTCCCTAAGTATATAACCCTATTAGTAACTAGTGTAGAGTACTCCCGATGGAAAGTTAATGGCTGAATGTAAACAACACCTATTATTTGGCTGACAAAATAAGCCACTAGCTGACTGAACAAGCCACAACCGAACAACCACGTATGGCTTACTTATTAAGCCATATAGGCTATTCAGCCCATTAAGCCACAATCGAACAGCCCCCTAAGCTTGCAGAACTTATAGTTTAGAAATATACCAGAACAAAGAAAGCCGTGGACAAGAATGATTTGAGTAGAAAGAGTGCCACAGTTGCCCCAACTACAGCCACCGATATCCTAGCAATTGGTCTTGGAATAGATACCTAAAATCACAACCAAAAACTATAGGTGTAATTTGCAAAAAAAATGGAAGTTAAATAAGCAAATGAGTTTATTTCAATACTAATAGACATGTAGATGGAGAGAAGACAACTTACTGGCACTAAACTTGTTCCTGCTTCGATTCCATCCTTTCCAACCTTGTATGCAGTTTGAAGAACTTTATCGACAACATATTGACGTTGAAGTTAGCACAAAACGGAGGGATTGTATGAGGAAAAGATAAATAATTTGTTAAACTGACATATTACTTAAATCTGTCCAATGATGATAAAAACACATGATTATATACATGTATAACAGTAGCGTTTGGCTATCTACAAACATCTAAAATGCCTTTTAATGGTGAAAAAAATCAAGGTTTTAAATGGCGTGAGGCATGGCGTGGCGGCGAGGTCAAACCTCAAGCGCAAGGAGCCACAGCGGTTTTGAAGGCGAGACTTATGGTGGAAAATCGGTATATCATATATAACATTATATATAAGCACATATGTTTTCTACTAAAACTCAATGAGTCAATGATAATAAAACAATTCAAATTAGGTTATATGTTAAAAACCAACAAATAAGATATTAAAAAGGTAAGAAAAATTAAATATTGCATTACAAAAACCATGCATTAGGCCATGGCGTGTCACAGGCTGAACATGGCGTAAGACAAAAGCCTTGAGCCACGGCGGCTGTTGCGGCGAGCCTTTTAAAACACTGGAAAAAAATACAGGAAGTATTCTTTCGGAAAGTGATTAACACTGAATAAAACTTACATACCAAAGGGTCATTGACCGGCGGTACCCGGGTTTACCCAGCGGTCAAGCGTTCAAGCCTCACCAAAGGTGAGGTGTGTGCGTGAGTATTTGCCGTATATAAAGGTTATATACTTTAAAAAAGCTACAAGAAACTGTCCTAGGTAAGGGATCCTCCTAGTTTTCACTTAATATAGTAAAGCTTTGCAGTTGATCCTGAGATAATAACTTCCTGTTTCAAATTAAAATAAGGTTCTGTTTATTAGCAGCTTAATGAGCTTCTGGGACTCGGAGCTTATTCAGTAAACCATACATGACAGAGCTTTTGGGACAAGTTTGGAAAAAAAAAACTTGGCTTCTGCATAAAGCTTCCCCTAGAAGCTCACTGAATAAACTACTTCCTATATCATTAAGCCAAAACCAAATAGTCATCTATAGCTAACTGAATAAGATGTGAGTCCCATTAAGCTCATTAAGCTGCTAAAAAACAGGCCCTAGTCCAACAAGGGTTGCACTGGCCAGGGTGTGGCATAGTCGTCTCAGTTTTATGTTTCTTTTGTCTCGATCTAGGTCAGGGTTTCATAGCAGTTTCAGTTGTCGCTTGGTTTACGGGTCGTTTTTGTGATTCAGTTTGATAATTGCTGTATATTTGTTGGATCATACTGTCTTATCATGAATCATTTTCAGTTTCAATAGAACTTTTTGACCATTTAGATAAAAGCAGCAGTTGATCAAATTTCATTTGACATAATTGTACCATTAGAACTTAGAAATTAGAAGTCTATTGAACAACCTGCAAAATTCGATGTTTGCTACTGAACATTTGTGCAGTGAATTGTTTAAACATCTGCTTTCACCTCCAAAATTCAATTTTCGTGGGAATGTGTGAATTAGTTTCCTGAATTTCTCATTTTCTTTTTAATATATCAGTCATACAGCACCCTCAGGACTAACTAAAACCAAACCAGACCAAACCAAACATACCAACATGTACAACTCAGAGGTAGGGTCCAGGGACAACTAAGGGGCTGTTTGGTTGATTTTTCATTAAGATCTGTATGAATAAAGCTGTCTACATGAATTAATCCGTCTGCATAGATTCGGAAGGTTTTTGTTTGGGAGGGTTTTTTCATAGATGGAAGAAACTTGCTTTTCAATTGGGAGAGGCAGGTTTTGGAAAAAAAACTTCGCTTTCTGCATAAAGCTCTCTCCTTGAAGCTTACTGAATAAGCCACTTTGTATATTATTAAGCCACTACCAAAGAATCATGTATAGCTCACCGAGCAAGCTGCGAGTCCCGTAAGCTCATTAAGCTGCTAACAAACAGGCCCTAACTCATGAATCCTAAGCGAAACAAGCACAAAGGTTCTAATTAAAATAAAACCCAAGTATATGTAACATATGCTCGCAACAAACCATTTGATTATGAAGTGCTAGACTGGAGAACAAAAGTATACATAGTCACTCCCCCAGTTTCACACTCGAGTCCAATTCTCCAAATTTGAGAAGTGTGATCAAGTGGACTCTCATTTAGTATGTAGTTGATAGCTGGGGGCTTTTTCCTAATTATACTTCTTATATTTTTTTCCAATTATTTTCAGCATTTCCTTCTAGGTTATTTTACATTTATATCTAGCTTACAAACCCAGGCCAACCGTACCAGATATTGTCCACTTTGTCCACACCTAGATCACGTTTTAGAACACGTCTAGTAAAAAAGGTATCCAGTCCCTTTATAAGGCAACATTTGTTCCCCTTCCCAACTGATGTGGGATCTTACATTGTATCTAGTTTGCCAAGCATGTCTCAACTATCTAACCCCACCAAGAAAAATAGGTTGGCACATAGTTTATGGAAATTGCTTCACCATCACTTAATTGTCTGAAATACGTATCAATATGATCATAAGGTATATGTGACCTCAAATCAGTAGTTCATGATGTAGCAGGTGACACGAAAAGAAAATGGTGTCTTCAAGGCAAATCCAAAAATCTAACAAGGGAAAACTTCGTTTGGGGTAAAACCATCTCTGGTTATTGGACAGAACAAGTAGGGTACAAATATTAGCCACACAAGCTGCTAATTGAAAAGTAGAAATCTCGCTCTCAATAAGATAATCGTTCATCCCGTACCACAATTAGAATGAAAAACAACCAACAGATTTCATAATCTGACATATACAATTTTAAAAAAGCAACAAATTTCATTCAAACAGAATTCAAAACCGAGTTCACGAAATACCTCTGAAAAAACTAGATTGAGCAGCGTAGATTCGAGACCTGATCTTTCTATTTTGAACAATTGGAATCATAGACCGTTTCTTCGACTTCAAAAGCGACTCACATGGTAATCGAGAAGGGCCAAAAGCTAGAATTTGAGATTTGCAACTGTATGATCCTGACGAATAGCAGATTCGAGGATATAAACTATGAAGATTAACCGTAGAAGCCATGAAAATTTTGAAGTAATTTATGTATGTTTGATGTTCTTCTTAGGAGTATTATGAATCACAGGTTACTCTCTGTGTGTGTGTGTGTGTGTGTGTTTTTTTGGAAGACGAGACTCAGGGAGGCAGATGGGTGGATAAGTGGTGGGCTTATAGCTTTTGGGCTTCTTCACATTGGGCCCAGTAATTGTGGCCCATGACCCGAAAGTTTAATCAAGATTTGAAGCAAAACAAGCCCAAATTTATTGTATTTTTTTATTATTATCATGAATAATAATAAAAAAAACCAAAATTTGAATTTGAGGTTTTAGATTTTAGATTTTGGATTGTTTCTTGTTCATATTGATCGGGTTTCGATTTCGGGTACAATTATTTGCGAAAATTATATTTAATCAATTTTGAGAAGGAATTTAGTCGATTGAGAGGATTGATGAAATATATAGTAAGTTTAGAAATTAGAAAAGGATTTAGAATTTTCAAAATATGATTTTATATATATATATATATATATATAGTTTTGACCCAGTGGATACGATAGGACTCGTCTTTGTTGACTCTCTGCTTATTCCAGCCATAAGTAACTTGTAGAACGGGTCATAGATAGATTGGGTCATTCGTAACCAGAACAATAATCGATTATTATCATTACATGTAACACCCGGAAATTGAACCAGTTTGTAAGAATTCTCCAAGAGAGACATTATGATAGGTCATCGGTTCAAGTCCTATAACCCCCAAGTCTTGGACTTTTGAGATTTTCCTCATAGGTCATCGGTTTGAGTCCTATAAAACCACTGAAATATTTCTGGTTTTTCTTTAAGACCCCTTAAATCAGTTAAGTTACATACAAACTGACTGACAAGAAAAACTGTAAAAAAATACACATGAAAGGGTTGTAAACCAATGTCATAATAAATGAATAAAGTTTTGGCATCTTTTCAAGAAAAATGATTCCACAACACATCACATGATCTTTTGGCCTTGAAACATGTTCAAAGTCATCATATTTTAACACTAAAATCTATCACATGTTGCTTTTACTTCAAGTTTCTAATGCTACAACTATTTACAAATATTCAAACAAATTATCAAAAAAATGTAAATAATATATTTAAAGAATATTTTCAAGATATATAATTAGTTATTTATGTAAGGTTCAATAATATTTCAAAGTTATGTATAAAATACTGAAAATTTATACATGACGTAAAATATGATCGACAAAAATTTCCATTTTCACGCTATTTACAATGAAAAAAAAAATCAGAAATTTGAAAGTAAGTCGGAATAAGAATCTCAAATGAAGAGATTTGGACATGATAATCGAGTCTAACCCTGCTTTGTTATTAAGGATGGTGATTTGTTCCGACCAGCGGCGAACCCGGCTCACCCAACCCGAACGGGGATTCCTCGCTAAAACATGTCCCGGGCAGGGGATCCTCGGTAGACTCAAACTAACGGATATCCTTCATGGGGTTTAACCGGGGACTCAAACACGTTCAAAAGATCAGCTTTATGGGTTTTTTTTACTATGTATTACCTGATAGTAGAATTCTTGCTCAAATAGACAGGTCTCGGGTTTGATCTCAAACCCTCTTGTTTGCTTCAACTGCTGAATGAACCAAAAAATGTCATCTCATATTGGTGTCCTTAAAGACTGGTTTTATGTAAGATCAGTTCAAATTGTCGATAATCAACTCTTACGTAGGTGAAATGGCTTGTGGTCTACAAATTATTTGTAATATATTATTTATTTAATTTAATAAAAGGTAAATAAAAAAATGTGTGTCATTAAAAACTTGATATTTCTTGCTTGACAAAAAAGGTATCAATCTTTGATTGCAAAGAGACAACCCCTATACTAAGGCTAATACTATATTTAATATAATATTTTTTAAGTATAAATATAATATTTTTTTAATTATAAAATATAATATTTTTTTAATTATAAAATATAATATTTTCATTGACGTAT